TACGGATTTTATCGCGTTTATTTCACTACTTTTACTTATTTTTTAATTCCCGACGTTTCGGGTGCTTTACAGCAACCATGGTCACGGGGGGGACTGAGATGTTTGACGTCCCAATGTCCGTAGTCGGACTAACTATGACATTGGGACGTCAAACATCTCAGTCCCCCCCCGACCATGGTTGCTGTAAAGCACCCGAAACGTCGGGAATTAAAAAAATAAGTAAAAGTAGTGAAATAAACGCGATAAAATCCGTAAATTTAGTTTTATTCAATTTATCTAACTTCACAAAATTTAATCAACAACACAGCAGATTTGATGTATGTACATTAAGATCGTTAGTTCCCAAAACTAGCGTAGAGCGAAAAGCGAATTAATAGTACATTTATTTATATTCCCATATGGACATAAAACAAAAGGAATAAAGAAAAGATTTTATCGCGTTCAATTACTTATTTTTAAATTCCAATGTTTAGAATGCTATTAGTGTAGATAGATTACACATACACATACACATTAAGGAAAATTTTGGATGTCAGAAATTCCAATCTACACTAATATTATAAAGAGAAAAGATTTGTTTGTTTGTTTGTTTGTTTGAATTGAATAGGCTCTGAAACTACTGAACCGATTTGAAAAATTCTTTCATCATTAGAATCCTACATTATTCCTGATGAACATAGGCGATAGGACGTTTTCAAAAAATTTAGGGATCCGTATGAAAACTGCGTTAATGTAACCCAAGGTGTCAAAAAAATACCAAAAAAAACCTTATATCGCGTACGCTGCGGAAACTATTGACAATAGAGCAAAGTAATGTGCTACAGTTTTATGGAGGACATCAATATCTACATAAAAGTCTGCAATACCATATGTCTAACTATTATAGTTATCTCACAATAACTAATTTTCCATGTTAAAATATTAAATAGTAACGTCGAAAAATCCTTATATCGCGTACACTGCCATGCGATGCGGGTGTCACTAGGGTGTGGGAGGGGAGTCTATGTAAAAAAATAAATTGCCGCGCGGCCCACTCGCGCGGTCGGCCCCCTGCGCAGCGGTTGTATGCGGAATCCAATAAATTTAATATTTTGAATTCGCTTTAAATTCATTTGTGTTGATTAAATTTATATAATATTATAAAGAGGAAAGATGTTTTTGTTAGTTTGTTTGTACCAAATAAGTCCGAAATTAGTGGACCAATTTTAATCAATTTTTACCAATAGAAAGCTAAATTATAGGGGGGGAGGGTGAGTGGATAAAATTTAAATTTTCTGTATAACGTGTATATGCCGATAGATAAAAGTACTCCATTAATTTTGCTAATTTTTTAGCTAAAATGATTGAACTAAATGAGCGAGGTGTCATATCATGTCGCGTGGCAGAGACGCGTGATATACGCGGGTGAAACCGCGGGGTACAGCTAGTATATCATAAGTCATAACCAATTATAGTTCGATTATAAAATTAAATGTGTCGTACGATAGTTAGGGCCGATCCTCATTTGCCGTTCACAGTTCGTTCTCGGTCCCATCTCGGTCTGATTTATTATAATGGAATGGGATTCGACCGAAAATTGACCGTTACCGGATAGTATGAATGCACACACATATTTTTTAGTAGATAATATTTTATCAGACCGAGATCGGAATCAGACCGAGAAAGAACTGTGAACGGCATTACTGATCCTCATTTGCCGTTCAAAGTTCGTTCTTGGTCCGATCTCGGTCTGATTTAATTATAATGGAATGGGATTCGACCGAAACTTGACCGTTACCGGATAGTATGAATGCACACATATTTTTTATTGATAATATTTTATCAGACCGAGATCGGACCGAGAACGAACTGTGAACGACATTATAATAAGGATCGACCCTTAATACGCAATTCAAATAATAGGACTGAGCTAGCGCCATATTATATAACCATACATATAGTTTGATGGGCAGCTATGACGTCACAGCTCTCCATTCAAACCAGTCAGGCAGGGTGGGCAAAACAGTTATTATTGAAATAATATCTATTTACAAAAGAACCATTTAAAAAAAGTATCAATAATTTAAATTAATTTATAAAAATAATTATGAGAGTAATAGATTTGGTAATACTAAGACACAGTTCGATAAAGCGGGGGAAAAACTTTATTAAGGTAAAGCGAATTCACTTTTTTTTTTAATTCATTATAAAAGTTAAAGATTTTTCTTAGTGAATTATGGTGGCCAAAACACGATTGACTCATTTTGGCTCGATAGAAAAAGATCGCAAAGTTTTCTCGAAATCTACAATTTTAGGTACGTCCACTGAGTGAAAAAGCAGTTTCATTCGAATGTAATGAAATAAATTTTAATTAAACTCAGGCTATGTGTTCACCAATAAATACGTGAGTAAATTATGGGTTTATTTTTCAATAAAAGACTATATATTATTTTAAAAAGAAATATCAAATAAATATTGTGCGATTAAATAGCGCGTGAGCCGACCAAACAGTCCCGCCAGTCATCCGCAGCGCGTCGTAGAGAGCACTCGTGTACAACTTTATCACGCCCGGTGTCGTCGTATAAAAGCAAAAATATATTAAAAAATATTGATAACCGTGGTTTGCCATTGAGAGGTAGTGAAAAATTAGGCATCCAAACCGGTTTAGGTGCCTTCCTTATTCCTAGTATTCACTCAAACAGTGAGCTAGTTGCAAGTAATAAACATGTAATAAGAGAAAATAAAAAGATTAAAAAATAGAGAAATAGATAAGTAAAAATTTGTTATACGTATGAGTAAAGTGGTAGAGTAAATTATACTTGCATGCATTGGTCTAATGGTCGTAAACGCAATTGCTGATCATGTGGTCCCAAGTTCGAAATCCGAGTCGGTCCAAGAATGATTTATTGGGATTTTCTGTCACAAAATGCTCAGTAGCAGGCCGGAATATTGATTTGGAACTTATTGAAGTTGGTCCTGCGCCTGATCTCTCTCCCGTCGTCTCGGATTACCGTTCCATCGGACTACAAGAGTGAGGGAGTAGGGTAGACCTGTGCTAGCGCATACACTTGGGCAATATAATCCTGTCCTGCGCAGATGGCTACTCTCCGTTGAGAATGGCCGCTGCTACCAAAATTCAATCTGGAGCCCTTTATTATATATAGTTTAAAGTATAGTATTATGTATAGTTTTAAAAATAAAATACAGTTATTTGAATCTTTTAATGATCAAAAGTGGGAGTGAGAACTTAGAATCATATAAAATTTGGCTGCTGGCTTTTTAATTTTTTCTGAGCAGCAAATGAATACTCATCATCATAACAGCCTTTCACAAGTCCACTGCTGAACATAGGCCTCCCCCAAGTAATGCCACAAAGCACGGTCCTGAGCCACCTTCATCCATCGACTTCCTGCATATCTTACCAGGTCGTCACTCCATCTAGTGGGGGGTCGCCCTACTCTACGCCTACCGGTACGAGGCTTCCACTCGAGAACCTTTCTTCCCCATCGGTTATCGGTTCTTCGAGCTATATGGCCGGCCCATTGCCACTTCAGCTTACTAATCCGTTGGGCTATGTCGGTCACTCTGGTTTTACTGCGGATATCCTCATTTCTGAGTCTATCACGCAGAGAAACTCCGAGCATAGCCCTCTCCATAGCTCGCTTAACGACCTTGAGCGTCCTCATACGTGTTGCCAGTGATGACTTACGGATCAGAGACGTGGTCCTTCACTGCTGGCCGTATAAGAAATGAATACTAATTAGAAGTAAATTATATGATAATTTATTGTAGATTAATTAAAAATCGTCACTGCGTAACTTTAAGTTCTAAAGTGCAGGTTTTCAGAATAATCACGTAACTATTCAGGACATGCTGGCAAACCTGGTACGCGCGGTGTCATAATGATGGCACGAGTGACAGAGTTTGCATGACGCAGCGCTTTTGTTTGGGACATTTTTACGTACTTTGGGGGGAGCGGGACAAAACCTTAAAATCGGGACGTCCCGCTTAAAGTAGGACGTATGCTCACGTTAGATATGAGGGAACTCGTTTGTGTAACAAATATACCTTGACGAAGTGACGGCTCCATGGCGCACTGGCTTGGCAATGAGTGGCTGCGCTGGGGGCCGCGGGTTCAAATTTCGCACGGGACAAGTATTTGTATGGCCTACAAATAATTGTTTCGGGTCTGGATGTTAGTCTTTGTGAAATTTATGTTTGTAAACTGCCTCCACAATACAGGAGAAATTCCTAGTGTTAACGTTATAAAAAATACTGATAAAACAGTTACTAAAACATTTATTACACTCCAAGTTGGGGTGTTCAATATGGCTGTTTTGAAAGCGTTGCCTGCTTCTTCACTGGACTGGAACCTTTGACCACGAAGATTACATTTTCCCCTATTATAGGCGTAACGTTTGACTTACGGACAGTTTTTTTATTTGACTCCACATTAACTCAATTGGGTTCAATATACAATAATAAGGTTGGAGTCTCATTATCTCATGACCAGCCTCTTGTGCTAATTCATCGACCTCATATTTTTTTTTTTCAAAATAATTGTTTTTGACTACTTCCAACAAACTTTTAATTGTTGATTTCTCTGGCACAGAAATGTTATGACTTCTTAAAAAACTTATTATGCCACTTTTCCTAGTGTTTGTGCTGGGAATTTTTTCTATTTGTCGGCTGTGGTATGATGCGTTATCCATAACAATCACACTGCTACTGGGAATATTAGGCAAAAGCTGATCAGTGAACCATTTCTCGAATAATCCAGAATCCATATCTTCATGGTAGTCTGCACTAGAGCTTTTCAAATGTTTGCTAGAGATCAGTAAAGCCCCTGGTATCCAGCCCTGTTCACCGCCTGCGTGTAATATTATTAAACGTTTACCCCTAGAACATGGAGCTTTAGTTGTACAACTTGGTGAATTGTCTGTGTACCCTTTTTTTAGAGTATCGTGAGTGTCAAACCATGTTTCGTCTACATATATTATATTTTTTCCTGCCGACCTTCGTTAACGTATTTCATTAATAAATTTTTCCCTTAGTAATAAAAGTCGGGGACTTTCCATTACAGTTCTTCTTTCATCTGATTTTCCATACTTGAATCCAAGTTTTTTTAATAGTCTCCAGAGTGTAGTTTCTGAATATTCAAAACCAGCTTCACTTCTCATCAATGATTGATAAATCTTACGTAACGTTGGAATCTCATTGTTGAGGTAAAAATTGTAAATAGTCCTCCTCACATGTTCCTCTGTAAAATTATCAATTCTTTTATAACTTATCTTGGTCCGTTTACGAGGAAGATGATTAGATCCTGCTGACACTATTCTACAAACAGTTCTTATAGGCACGTTTGTTAATTCCGATGTCTCTTTAATCACTCCCTTATCACCCATGCGTTTCAAAAGCTTATTGTAAACACTCAAAACTATGTCTTGAGAGTCTGAACTTAAATGTCTTTTTCTACGCTGAACACTATTTTCATCACTTGTAGATGCACTATTTGATATTTCCCATGGTCGAAACATGTTTATTTGTACGTCTGTGTAATAACGAAGTTACAAGACGACTGAATTTTTGACAACAATGTCATCGTGTATTCAACAAAAGCATCAAAACTTGTTTCCTGCCACAAAAATACGACGTCAGGATAAGGTCTTCCCAGGTATCGGTTGTAAATACCACTTCTTTTGTTATCGCCTAATGACCGCTTCAAGTACAATCCTATTGCTATTTGAAATGAACTATAATCACTAATACGAGTATTGTAAGTAGATAGGTCGTTTGATACTTATTTCATTAGGTTTATCATATTTACGCCTGTTTCTTTACGGCAACCCAGTCGCTTTTTATTTTTATTAAGGTTATTTCCCATTTTAATTTTACGTCATCCTGTTGCGTAATGTGTATTCTGGCCGTAAGCAACATAGCTTTTCCGTTCGAAAGCCGAAGCGAGACTGAGCCAGACTGAGCGGGGTTATCGGGCGGCAGGGAACACGGTTCAGGACGCCGATAGTTTAGGTAATTTCCTTTTACAGTAAAATTTACGGTAATTTAAAAAAAATAAAAACCATAAGCCCTGCTTTATAGTTAGTTCAGTTAGTATGCAAAGTTTCATGATCCAATTTAAAGAATTTTATAAATACCAGCGGTTTATTGTTCAGTTTCGAGGTAACTTTGAGTTTCTTTTCTATCGAGAAAATTTTATGGAATCGTGTTTTCGTCTAACATTGTAATTAACATTAATCCTCAACATTAGCATATATTTATTTCAAAATTAATGCTGCAATATTTTCGGCATAACGGAGGATCTTGCTAAGCCATTTGAGAAGCTATTAACCCTTAATACGCAAATCAATTTCTTTGCAAGCCAAATTTTTCCAGTGACAGTTAACAGATCGCAGTCATTCGAGGTCATTGACGTTCCTATTCTTATTTTAATCACATTACACATTGCGTTGTTTCACCTCATAATCACGGCGTAATATAATCGCTCGCCCTAACTAGTCACGTGACAGTCATATAAATCAACTAAGCGAAATAACATGAAGATGCCTCCCATAGATACTGGTATATATAAATATTATGTCAAATTTAAAAACGAAACAGAGAGGGTATGCAGGCAAGCAACATTTTGAAATTGAGAGACGTCTGTAAATCAGACTATGGTAATCACGGCAAATCTTCCACACGTTAGGAAAGACACATGTCTAGGAATGTTATGAATCGAATATTGTTATTCGATGATATCACCATACCTCGGCATGTTTTATCATTTGTATTCATCTTCTTAACTTCTTATTCTGTAGCACTTAAACGAGGCATGCTTTTAAGTTCTGTCGTTTACTTATTTACCGGCAATTTTGAATTTGGAACAGTTCAATATTCAAATTTGTTTAAAGTCAGAATCTCAAAACAATTGAAAGTATGTGGATTAATGCTATTGTTTAGTCACAGAGTTGTATTGAATATGTCAGGTCACGTATGAAAATGAATCCTACTAAGGAAAATATCCGTGTAATAATTTTCTACTAATTTCGTTTCGAAGAGCTAACTTCTGTATTTCATGATGGATTCCCATGTATGAGGACTGTCGAACGCTGGCATTTAGAATTCCTGCGTGGATATATACCAATCTTAGTGACAAATCTCGTGAAGGACGTCTAAAATCCGCCTTCACTGGAGATAACATCGTTGCTGTGAGAAAACTTATTCTCGAAGATCGTCATGTGACACATAGAGAGATAGAGGTGTTATTAGGCATCTCAGGAACAACCATTTAGAAGGTCTTGCATGAAGCGCTTGGTGTGAGAAAGCTAATTTGCCGTTGGATCCTGCATTTGCTTTCCGACGATCATAAGGCGACAGATGTCAGATGATGTAAAAACCTTTTCAAAGGCTCAACAGAGGAGAGTCAAATCACGTCTACGACACCATCAGTGGTGACGAATCTTGGATCTGTGCCTACGATCCCGATTCTAAACAACAATCTACAACCTGGATCTTCTAAAACGAGCCCAAGCCAACGAGAGTTTACTGCTCTCTAAGAAGAAAAAAAAGAAAATAGTAGCCACGTTCATTGCGAAAACCGGTCACGTTGCGACAATTGCACTTGAAGATCGTAGAACGGTTAATGCAGAGTGGTATACCACATTTTGATTACCACAAGTCATCGCCGAACTTCGTAAATCTAACCCAAAGCGACGCATCATCCTACACCATAACAACACAAGCTTACACAGCACTAAGCCATAATAATTTCTTTACATTTCCTAAAATTAAGAAAAATCTTCGTGGTCAAAGGTTCCAGTCCGGTGAAGAAGCAGTCGACGCTTTCAAAACAGCCATATTGAACACCCCAACTTTGGAGTGTAATAAATGTTTTAGTAATTGGTTCGAGCGAATAGAAAAGTGTAATCAACTACGTGGTGAATACTTTGAAAAACAATAAAAAAGTAATATAGGGTTCTAGTTGTTTTTGGTCAAACGACAAAACTTAATAGGCATGCCTCGTAAATATAAATTTGACACGCTTACAATAACCACGATTTCCAAATCCTAGATAGGATAGAGAACAAAAAACCCTTCCAATTTAGTAATGGAATGGCGACAATTATTTCAAAAATTGACATTGACATTTTAAGTTTTATTAAAATGCTCATACTAATTACAAGTATCTAGCATAGAGGGGGCCCTAAAATATGAACAAAATTTTTGTACTTAAACTTTTTATGCATATGACATTTACAAGGTTGTTGCCATTTTTCCATTCCAGACACCTCGGACCTCGCACACCGATTGAAGTGCCATTAAGCGAAACAAGAAAGACTGTCAAATTTATTTAGTCCATGACTTAGTAAAATTAAGGATTTTGATTAATCAGGTTCGTTTAATACTTATTTATTTCAATGGACCGTAATAGAAGGTTCATCTGACATTTTACAACAAAATATAGTCGAACAATGCAGAATTTCGCACTACTGTGGTAAGTTTCGTTTATACATGGTAAAGCCACGCTGCAGCTATATTATGGTAGTAACACGAATGGGTCGGCTTAAGCGGCGAATTGCAGCTTAACGCTGTATCTATGTCTATATATGTCTTTTCGTACGGAGAGTGCAAAGAATTGAGACCCTATTTTAATGGAAACGAGGCATTCTATTTAAGTCCTCGGGGATGACAATGCTCCCACGTTTTCTCAATCGAGAATAAATGTAGACGTCTAAAGGCCACAGCACCCACTTACCATTAAGACAACTGTGTGCTGGTTTGCCACACTTAATCTATAAAAAAAAGTTAAAATATGTTGTTGTGAAGGTCACTATTTAATCTACTCATATGCAGCTATTATATTACTGCCAAATAATCTCTAGACATATTTTCACGTCGAGCATCCAATTCAAAGCAGCGATTCTCCTCAAACATTTTGACCTTGGCTTTCACCAAATGGATTAATGACGTCATGTCTTATGAAATTACGTCACATATAATACTAATACAATAGGGATGTCATTTTCTAGAAAATAAGTAAATCGAGTGTACTTACTCTCATCTTTGGCATAGTATAAAGAGACCAAAGATGACCACTGGTCATTGAAACTCTACGCATAAATTACACGCAACATCTCTCAATGTTGTTTCTCTTTTTGTCATATTTTAAAATTAGATTGGAAAAAGCGTGGCAAGTGTATTTGACTCAACTTATACAGTAGATTCCCTTTATGCATATAACATATGTATGTAATCCAACTGTAGATTCCCTCTATGCATATAACATATGTATGTAATTACTCTGAGTTATAATCAAAAAATGCCGCTACAAACACACAATGCGCTCCATGAAGGCTCCAATAAGGATCATGTCTGTAGATAGAGCAGCCCTCATCACTTGTGGACCGACAGCGTCATTAACTCTTAGCGTAAACTCTCTACGAATTGGAGGTGGCAGAGAGCCCCCCATTGCATTCAATACTCTAGTTCTTCCAGCTACATCTAAAGGTTTCCCTTCAGAACTATTACCAAGTATTCTACGCACACACAGAGACCTGCACGCTTCTTTCTCAGCTTCAAAGAGTTCCCGAGCTGCTATTTCGAAAGTACGTCTCTTATCAACACCACTGACGTTCGAACTATTTCCCGGAACGCCTTCTTCGATGGCTTTCAACGCTCCTGCTTTAATTACAGCAGGTAGCAAAAGCTCAGCAACCGCTCCTACCGTACGAGAGCATAGAAAGTGTAAAACCTGTTCTGCTTCACGCGTCTCATCAAAGAGACGCCGTTGTCTTGCGGCTGGGACTGGTCGAGCTACATTCCAAGCTTCAACCCACGGGTTTCCAGGCAACAACATACGGTCACCTAAAGACCCTCCGTCGTCTGGTTTCCAGTCTCGAGGAGAGTACCAATGCACAAAATCGCATAGCTCTGCCCCAGGGTTCGCTGCTTTAAATGCTTCCATGTCAGATAATAACGAAGCACTCATCATTCTCGCACGAAGCTCAGATGCTTTTGCATCGTCACCCAGTCGAACCATGAGTTCAGCATCCTCTTCCAACTGATCTTCAGTTTTTGGCGCCGGATCCTAGTTAAAAAAAATAAAATACACTAAACAGATTATTTTATAATTTAATATTAAATAACTTTCTAATAAGATGTATATATGAATACGATAATAGATTACTCTTAAAAAATAATTAATACATTGATTTATTCCATTGTTGACCATAGAAAAATTGTGTAACCGATAGACATCGACGTAACATAACCCACTTAATGGCAAATATATTTTATTACTTATATATTGATGGTAATAGTCTACGATAAAATTTAATTTAAATTAATTCAAGCATACAAATTTAATAAGCTTGAAACTCTAACGAGAATAATTAAAGGATATTCTACTAAGACTCACTTACCAGAAAGTATTTTTTAGCTTGAGTTAAATTTAGAAACAGTGTTTTTAAAAAATATTAAAGGAAAATATTAAATTATCTTTAAACATTTTTAAGCTTTTGTTGTTGTTTTTGACCGTGTAGTGGCGGCGTAAGAATATTGCTTACCCAATATCGTCTCGTTGGTGTCGTGAGAAGCGACAGAGAGAAGCAGTCCGTGAAATAGGCAGAAAGCAGAAGAGGCGTTTGCCTAATAACATCTAAAAAATAAAAAATGCTGTTGCTCACCCGCCTGCTACATGAGGCAACTATGACAAATATCTCCTCTATGAGGCACTCCATAAGGGTGATGTTCAGCGGTGGACTTTTGATAGGCTGTATCGGTAAGCTTTTGTTCGTATATACTAAACACAAACCTGCGTACGAGGAATATAAAGGGGTGCGCCATTTTTAAGTGTCTCATTTCCAAGGCGGCTGAGGCGCCCCACCGGCCGGTCCCACGGTGGTTGTTCCTCGCCTCCCTCGCCCTCTGAACAATCGTAAAATTCGTCCTCCGAAGAATTTCCACCAACGCCGCCATTCCCTTGTAAGACTCGCTGAATGCAACAGTTGAGTAGTTGTAGTTTTTGATGTAAGAGACAAGTTCGTGCGTTAGGTGGGCCTTCTGCTACTCTGTAAGAAAATGACGCGTCACGTAAATTATTTGCATACAAAAATACTTTACCTTAATATATATAAATTACATGTCACGTTGTTTGTCCGTCCGCGATGGTCTTCTAAACTACTTAACGGATTTTAAACAAATTTGCACACCGTGTGCACTTTGGTCCAACTCGAGAGATAGACAGTTTTTTTGTCCATGAGTGACCCACAACTTTTTTTTGCGAATTTTAGGATTTTTAATAGGACATGACAAAGGGTCGTCGAAAAGGGCAAAACAACGTCTGCTTGGCAAGCTAGTATATGTATACTATATATATATATATATATATATATATATATATATATATATATATATATATATATATGTATGTATATGTATATATTTCGTTGGATTTAAAATAGGCCATGGTATCTTAATGGCATTACCACTAGTAAACCGAGTCCACTTCAACACTATGATTTTAATTGTTTGTAAATTCTGATTTGCCACCTGTTCTGCAGTGGAAAAAAAATACCACCACGTCTCAGAAAACAGAAAAAGAATCATTTAAACTCCTTATTCATTAAATAATAACTGCCACTTAGAGACCAGCTCCGTTTAACTTTCACTTTGAAGGCAATTTTAGGTAGACAAATGCGCGACCTCAAAAAGAAAGCAGGCAAATCGAAAGAGCGCATGGCAAAAAACGCACAATAGCAGAATCGTTTTCTCTTTCGTGTATGCAAATTTTGCAGCTTCCAAGAGAACTCATCGGAAATTGAATTCCGCCGGAGGCGTGCGCACTTTTGAGGAGGCTTTGAACGCACGAGGCACCTGCCCATAGTGTCCGAAATATCTCGTCTTGTTTCTGTGCCGCGGGGCCGTGACCCACAATCTGTGGGAGTCAAGTTAAATGCGTGAACGCTCTCTGTACCGTTATGATTATTGAATCACAAATGAGCGGCAAGACGGACAGGAGGCGAACGTCGACGTGCCTATTTTTTCATCATGCTTAGTGTGTAATCGGTCGGTGAACCGTTTGTTTACCGGAGCCAGTGCAAGTACCTACAGAGAGTGCCGGTGTAGGTCAGGAGACGCTGGTGGGGCAGCGCAGGTGCACAGTGCGATGCGCGTGCTTACGGAGGCCGCAAGCACATCAGACATGTAGCTTTACACAACGACCGAAGGAAAACTGCTCCATTAATTCGCGCCAAAACAGTGAGCCTTTAATTAGTGACTTAACGATGAAATACAGTTATTCGTGTTAAATAATACAATATACGTGACAGTGCATTTCTGAAGTGAATTATCACGCAGGATTTTTCCGTGTAGAAGTTTTTCCGGCAAATACAAAATGGTAAGATATTTTTACATCATTTTTCTGTTTCACTGTTCATCACCGCAAAAAATTTCTCTTCGCTTACATTGACCCACTTACAAGAAACATCGTCAAAACCGGTACGAAATATTAGTAATTTCTTTAAATAGCAGTAACATTCGTAAATTGTACGGATCGCATTATTACAAGAAATACATATATTTAAAGTAAATAAATATCATAAAATTTAATTTAAAATATCGCTTATATTAAATGTATGCCAATAGATATATAAACTTAAATAAATTCAAAAAGCGCAAACTGGTGCAATGTTACAGAAGCAAAGTATCAATACTGGAAACTCCTTAAAATATTTAAATAAAAGAATGTTTCTTTTCGAACTATTCGTTATATTCGTATTAAATAGCTTCCTTTAGAAGTTTCTTTATTTGGCCCAAGTTTCATTGTACTTAGGCTTAATGGGGTGTTTCCAAAGGTTCGCGACTACAAGACGCTCGGGGACAATCGCTATGCTTCACTTCACATTGATTCAGTTCCTAAGTCAGAACTGAGTTTTATCTGTGAGCAAATGTTATTATAATATGCGGCTTTTATCCATACTGTATATATGTTACAGTTAGAATACTGAATGCATTAATGTACGCATTAGCTAGATAAATTGCAGATTATCGGGTGCAGTCCTTTAATGTGCGAAATTTTACTTAATGTAGCAAATATCTGTACTTTACTGATATGTTATGATATAATAACTGATTGTATTGCAAATTTATAATTTAATTACGATATTTTATGAATAATTGTTATGTTTTACCGTCGAACTGTTTTTAGTTTCTTTTTTTGTTGATTTGATTAAAGTAAATGTTTAAATTCCTTTAGTTAATTTCAGTTTTAGTTAATTACACAATTTGTACATTTTTGATAGTAGAGTAACATAGAGAACTTTTGAAATTACTAAGTTCAATTATTTCAACAATTTATTTTATATCATTGCAATGGACGCAGCTTTGGGATTATGGGGCCCATGGAGAAAAACCACTTATGACGAAGAAGTTTGTATATATAGGAGATATTTGTATGGTTTATTCAATTTATATATTAGTAAAATGTATATATACGTAGCTCATTATCATTTTTATTTTGTTTTTATTCTGTATTGCTACACTTACTTCCAATTCTCACCACTCCATGGGTTGACTGGTAGAGAATTATTCAAGGTATTATGTTCTCCCTTTGTATTATTTTGATTTAAGAAATGGAATAAAGAATAAATAAAGAAACATTAGTCAAAACCAGTTTTGTCTACAAAAATCGGTCATAACCGTTTTTGTCTGATTTTCGCAGACAAAAGTGGTTTTGAACGGGTGTTAATTTTGACTGTGACATAAAATACGTACCAATGAACTAATTTAAAAAAATAGTTTATTCAATTTATATATTAGTAAAATGTATATATACATAGCTCATTATAATTTTTATTTTGTTTTTATTCTGTATTGCTACACTTACTTCAAATTGTCACCACTCCATGGGTTGACTGGTAGAGAATTCTTCAAGGTATTATGTTCTCCCTTTGTATTATTTTGATTTAAGAAATGGAATAAAGAATAAATAAAGAAACGTTAGTCAAAACCAGTTTTGTCTACAAAAATCAGTCATAACCGTTTTTGTCTGATTTTCGCAGACAAAAGTGGTTTTGAACGGGTGTTAATTTTGACTGTGACATAAAATACGTACCAATGAACTGATTTTAAAAAAAATTACGGGTTAATGTTTGACCGATTACCTGCATTAATTGTTACAATGAATTCGAAAGCCTTATTTAATCAAAAAAAAAAACAATTTTATTCATTTAAACAAATGCTCAGTCGTTATTTCGCCGATTACCTAGAAATTAGTCGTTATTTTACTGATTACATAGGAAGTCTGCAGAATAACTTTTTAATATGCACTGTAACTTATTTACGCACTTTAGTGTAAACATATAATATATGAAGATACGTTACGTGACGTGAAAGAAATACGTGAAGAGAAAACTTTGTACCCTTTTTAAATTTGGAATAGTTACAGTTAATAATATGAAAAAATGTATATACATATCAGAATATGTGTTAAAATACATTAACAAAATATTCATTGTTTACGTCCATGCTGCCAAAATCTAACACATAATAGTCTGTAGTGAAACAGAGGCACAGAAGATATTTTTGTCGCCAAAGAATTTTAAAACGAGCTATGAATTTTGTGTGATTTTAAATGTTCCTTTTTCAATTCTGTGGAGTGTATATCAATACAAAAAAGCGTTTATTTTATATTTTGAATATTATATACTAATATATGTGTTGTATAAAGGGTTATTTTTCAAAGAATAGCCAAATCTCAAACTTAAGTTCGAACATATTAATAATGATATACCATTGTCAGCTTTTTTTTTTAATTCGACTAAATAAAGCTTCTATTTTATTTAAAATTATCCTAAATTGAATGTGATTTATGGGCAACAACGTTTTTGCCTACCGATCGTCCCTTACGAGTGGGTGCCGTGCGTAGTTAAAGTTATTAAAGTTAAAGGTAGTAGTACCATGCATTTTGTACATAACACTTGTACTGCTACTACTACAACCCTGTATATTAAGGTGCAAATGAAAGAGAAATGCTACTTGCTTAATGTGCAGACTTAAAAAAAAATTACGGCCGCAATTTCGACTACTGGACGACCACTAGTAATTTTAATAATATAATAAAACGTGGAGTGGCGTAGATTTTTTTTCAGATTCATAATATTAAAAAACAGCGGTTGCTAACCCGTTTGCTAAGCATGGCAACTACGGCAAAATCCTGCCTATGAGCCATTTTTTACGTGGACGTACGTTTAGAGCGACTCTGCAGCTATATGATGGTTGTAGTACGAATGGGTCGGCTCGACCGGAATGGGACCACGCTCTCACAGAATTCCAGCGTAAAATAGCAGCTTAATACTGCTGTGTTCGTATGATGAGTGTAGAGAACCGGAGCAATATGGATCCATGTCATCCACTTACCATAAGGTGAGCTGTGTGCTCCTTTGTGGCATTATTCTATAAAAAAAATCTATGAGATGCCTAAATTCCGCAATGGACATTTAATACTATAATTCATGGATGGAATTCATATCACAAAATGAGTGAAAAAAAAATCTTTAGTTCCTTTAGGGAGTCAGATTCTTTTCTTTTTTAGTGATTCAGTTGCCTTTCTCCATCCTTTATCCTTCTATCTTATATATATATATATATATATATATATATATATATATATATATATATATATATATATATATACATATTTCAATCATTGATCGATTTTACGAGTCTCAAACTGTACGATTAGTAGGCCAAACACAATGATATATTTTTCAAAACTTTCTTCACTATGTAGATTATACTCCTAAACGGCTCGCGGCTTTTCAATTTACGAAAATTATAGCGGACAACAAAATAAAGCAACTAATAATATCTTAACCGGACTCTGGATTCGCCGCCTCAAAGACAACTAGATAACAACACTACATGTTAGAAAATAGAGGCGAGTATACTCCTGTTACAATACTCGCAATGTCAGAAGTGCAACAAATAAAACTGTTTGAAAATAATTTCACTACATTTCTATATGAAATTTTTATGTATGTATTTATATTTATTTTATTATGTTTATGAATTGATTAAAACTACTTTTACGGATTTTATCGCGTTTTATTTATTTTTAATACCCGACGTTTCGGGTGCTTTCCAGCACCCATGGTCACGGGGGACTATAAATAAAACGCGATAAAATCCGTTAAAGTAGTTTTAATCAATGTATAGTGTTCGCGTAAATATAAGAAATCATTATGTTCATGAATTGTTATTTATATGTGGTAAAGCCACGCTGCAGCTATATTATGTTTGTAAAATGAATGGGTCTGCTCGACCGAGGCCCACAAGGAACACGCTCTCACAGAATACCAGCGTAAAATAGCAGCTTAATACTGCCGTCTTTCGTATGGTGAGTGTAGACATCCGGAGACTCCTTTTTACTCGAAACGAGGCATTCCATCTTAGTCTTCAGGGGTGACACTGACAACGCATCTGCGTTTTGATTCTTAATCGAGGATAAATGTTGTTATATGAATTAATGAGGATAGATGTCTATGGGCCACAGCATCCACTTACCATCAGGTGGACTACGTGCTCGTTTGTCATCCTTATTCTATAATAAAAAAAAATATTTGCGCTTGCCGAATTTCACAACATAACATTTAGTTACAAGACACAACGTTTTAGTAACACTTAAAAATAAAATAATAAATAATCATTTTCAAGTACACCTATGGAACATCAAGACCTAATTAAAATTAAATCACCTGCACAACAAACCATTATAACGATTAAAACGTTATAATTCATTGAAAATTCCAAGGATATAGGTACCAACGTATGTCTCATAATACTGTTACTAGCGTATACGCCGTTTTACAAATTCATAACATGCGGAGCAGCTACTATCACACAACCAGTCTCCATAATTCATTGAGTGAAAACTTTATGGAAACGATGATTCTAGGAAACAGATAATGACGAATGCGTAAGAAGCAGTAGTATGAGGTACTCTACTTATACAACAAGAAGGAATTCAACTTACAATCAATAACTAAAACGTATACATGTAGTGCTAATGATATATTGCAACAAAATTTGCTTCGCTCATCTCTCAAATATAAAGTCAGACGAACAAAGAATATAGACAGAGCTTGCTCAATTTTTGGCACAAACTTACACTCACACTTATATTCTTTCTTTCTTCCTTTATAACAATTATTATAACAGGCTGTAAAAGTTCATTGTTGGACGCACACATTTGTACCAAAAACCATATTGATGGTTGAAAATGATTTCAGATACACATGTGTGCGTGAGTGCATGTTCTTATAATAAATTGAGCACGGTTTCTGTTTAGTTTCGGCGTCACTTGTAAATGATCGGAGCTCTCGGTCTATTTTGCTTTGTTCTTCAATATATAAATAATTCATTTGATATTATAATAATGTCCTCCAAACCGAATTTCGGTCCGGCGGCCACCCTCAATGGAGACCAGTCATCGGTGTAGGACAGGATTATAGTGACCAAGTGGTTTTTTTTATACTAGAGGGGTCAAACGAGCTCATCTGATGGTAAGTGATTACCGCAACCCATGAACAACTGCAACACCATGTGTATGCTCAAACACAGGTGCACTCTCTATTGCCTTACTCCCATGGTGCGATGGGACGGTAAATCGACACAACCAGAGAAAGATCAGGCGCAGAACCAACGGTTTTATTTGCTTTGCGAGGCACTGGGGTGAGACACCATCAACTTCCCGCCTCCGGGCAGCGACTGAGAATTTCTTAATGGAAAAATTCAATGACTGATATTTTAATGGCCCGACCCGGGATTCGAAACCGGGACCTCATGATCAGCAGTCGCACTACTAAAACCACTAGACCAACGAGGCATTCGATATTATAAATTACATTAATTTTTTTTATTTAACAAGTACACTTACAATACACATATATGACAATCACGAAAACAAGAAATGTGTAATTTGTATACTTTCTGATATGTATATCAATAACAAGTGTACATAATATTCACAGATTGAGTCGTGCAATTTTGGGATAATTTGGAGTACAAATATCATCCAATCAATACAATGCAAATTAGAACTATTCAAATAAATTATGTACTGAAGAAAAATCTAAAGATAAAAAAACAGGTTTAATTATTAAAAGGGAATGTGGTAGATATTATACTCTCTTCAGGAGTATATTTTTAATTTAAGTATATGATGTATTATATTGAAGATGTAATTTATATCAGAAATACTGATGCCTACCAATACTTATAGTTACTAAAGTAACTAAACTCGTAATACGTTTTTCATTTTAACAAACTATATGACCATTTGGTAATATGATAGTGTCAGCCTTCACCTTCACTTTTAATTATACCTACTTAAGCGAAAGCGCGAAACGGGAATAATCACCCGGAAATTTAATCATACATCATCAATTAAGAGTAACACATCCTGTAGCAATTTCACCTTAGTCACTCGCAAGTGGACAAAAACACACACTCGATCTCGACACAATAGCATAGAATAAATACTATATAAGAAGAATAACTGTAAAAGATTTCAAAAAAAGAGCACAAGAAATAACGCGTGTGCCGTGAGATTGTGTATTTGAATAATTTGTCTAAACCCGAGATTTACTCGTAATATTTCGTTACTAATCAATAATTATTATGTTGGATTCTAGAATCAAGAAAAACAATTTACCACCCCATTTCGCCCATGAAGCTGAAATCATTTTAAGTAAAAAAAAGTAAAGTAACAGCCCATATACGTCCCACTGCTGAGCACAGGCCTCCCCTCATTTATGAGAGGGTTTTAGGGCGGGGAAGAGTCCGCCGCGCTGCCCCAATGCGTGTTGGCGAACTTCACATGTCTTAGAAATATTTTTTATATTATTCCTCAGACATGCAGGTTTCCTCACGATGTTTTCCTTCACCGCCGAGCACGTGGTAAATCAGCAATTAAAATTGCAATTAACAATTTCATTGGTGCCGGCGGGGACCGAACCCGGGTTACTCGCGTACTGTTATATTACAGCGAGCGTTAGCCATCTGAGCTACCACGGCTCAAAAATCATTTTAGCTGGTTGAAATATATTTCTAGCAACAATTTGAGGTAATAATACATTGGTTTCGTATTTATTACTGAAAAGGACTGATTTACATACAAATACAATGTACCACTCCCTCAAAAGGAAGTACAAAAATTATCAAGTACGTGCTATGCGAAACTGAAACTTTCAATAGGTCTTTTCGAATGTAAACAGGCAAACTAGTTTTACAATAAAGGCCATTTAGTGGACGAGGAGTCACACACAATATTAACTACATCTTGAAGCAGGCTTCCATAAGAATATAATACAAGCCACCCAAGAAGATTTAAGTCACTTCTTACCATCTCTCAAGTGTAATATTCTCTACAAGATGCAGAAGTGTACAAACTGGAATGTGAATGTGGTGTCTCCTACATATGACAAACAAAAAGATCCATAAAAAATGGCGTTAAAGAACATATCGCTGATGTGAAGCACAGAAAGTCAGCAGTATGTCAACATCTTCAGGATCGGCCTAACCATTCCTGGAGTTCTTACTGAAATGTGAGTTGGTTCATTATTGGTCAGTCACAGGTTTACGGTTAGTAAATATTATCTGTATGAAATTAGCCCTTTGTAATAAATATGCAATTTTTGAAGCTATTTTTCTTCTACTACAATAAAACATTTTGTAATACATTATAACCTCATACACATAATTATTATACAAATAATTGTTCCGGGTCCGGATGTTTGTACTTGTGCAATTTATGTTTGTAAACTGCCCCCACGATACAGGAGGAAATCCTAGTGTAGAGGTAACGTTCTTTTAAAAGAAGAATAAAGAATATTCATTACTCATTACAGCCTATCACAAGTCAACTGATGAATATAGGTTTCCTCCATAGATAACCTCAGAGGGATACCTGTCAGTTGTCACGCTTGGCAGACGGGTGACTGCAGTTTTATATCATTATGAGTTATCAGGAAGATGCTGCTGCCCATCTCCTGTTATAATTCCCTATACCCTCTTCCAACAGCCACGAGGGGATGTAGGAAAGTGGGTTATCTTGCGCCTCCACTACACGGCGAACATAATTGTGAGCGTACTTTTATTTTCTAAAAGCAATCGCCTTGCAGATCTGCATGAGTACTGATTCGCGATTCGTCAACGAAGAGACAGTTTTGCCAAATGTTTTCCTCCTCATCTTCTACATTTTGCCGAAGCCTAGCCCACTGCCCACTCCGTCGCTAACGTTGCTGTGAATTCAGATTCGCCAAAACCTCCATGCTCATAGTCCAGCCTGATGTAAGCATTTCCGAATGGTCTGAGTGCTAAGTTTAAGTCCAGAGGCAGCCCACACTTGTACTATTATTGTAGTGGCGTTGACTGTTGAGTCACAGGCTGCCAGCAATCTGATATAGCGTTTATGAGCAGCAGTCAAAACAGTAGGGCGACCACTGCGAGGTCGGTCAGCTAAATTATCCATACCGTGGTACCGCTGCAACATACTCCCGACACAGGATTGGGATACAGCAACTCTACGTGCTATTTCTTTCGTGGGATATCATTCTTACCTCAAGGCTACAATTATTGTTCGTAAAGCTTCTGATAATCCCTGATAATACTACTGTCATTTTTCAATCACAACTTGCCTCGAAAAATATTTTAAATTAAAAAAATTGACTAAGTCAGATTTCTAAATGAGCGTAAGCTTGGATTGAATTTGTTTTATTGTTTTATATTCTTATCCTATATTTAAAATTTAATTAAAGAATCTAAAATAAGATAAAATTATAATATAGTTTACCGTAACAAGAAAGACTTCGATTTTTCAAACTGATCGTAAACACTTTTTGATGTGTAGGCGATATTATGTGCATGCATGCATTTATTTTTCATTGAGAAAAACTAAACTCGCTTGCTTTTCTATATTACCCTTAAATACCTTATTGTTCTACTGGAAGGAAAAAAGGAAGCATACATAAGATCGCTCAGCTAGCCATGGAGGCTTTGTTCGCAATTTATCTGCGTAATGGACTTCGTAACGAAGATATCCGCAGTAGAACCAGAGCAACCGACACGACATAGCGCGACACATCAGTAAGCTGAAGTGACAATAGGCCGGCTATAAAGCTCGTAGAACCGACAATCGACGGGGAAGAAAGGTTTCTCAAGTGGCAGCCTTACATCGGTAAACAAAAGTGTGCCCTTGCTTCTTATGAAGTAGATGGATGGCGGACTCTCTCGAACCGAAGCCTGTGTTTGACAGGGGTTTTGTAATAGACTGTAGTGATTATGACTTTATTGTTCGAATGTATTTTAATGCTTACATACTATACCGAACTTGATATCGATTAGTGTTATAATAAAATTTCTTGGTTGTGTGTGAAAGAGAGAGAGTACACAAATATAGAGAATTGCACTTTTTAGAATAATGTAGGAGGATAAATAAAAAACACCACAAAACCTTCAATGTTTAAAAATGGATAATTATACAAGAGCGCCACAAACGTTCTTGTAAACACAACGTTCAGTCCGTCCCTAAGGACTATTTATATGAAATTTCAAGGACACAAACAGTTACATACAAATTTTTACCCGAAAAATGATTTCTAAGTTGCACAATAATCTATATCACCTACTACTCGTATTTAAGACCTAAGGTTTTAGCTACGCATGTCATTAAGCAAAACTGTTAAATAGTAATTAAACATATGAAATGTGACCTAGTGACACTACAGCATTTATGTCGATCTACAGGTTTTAAATCTCACTCTCGTGCTAACACTGTTGCTATGTGTGAAAAATGCTCAAAGTACTGTAGTATGCTTGGGTACAGATATTATAATACTAATTTAAGAGTATTTTTCATTTGAGAATATGCTCTTATGTAGAGCATATTCTCAAATGAAAAATACAGTTAAATTTTTTTAGATTTCACTTTGTGATCATGTTCCGTGGAGGCAAAATAACTTCTGTATTCGTGTTTGGAATCTGTTTAGTTTTCTATTTATTAAGGAATACCATAAAATAAGCATGTGGTCGAAAGTACATAAGCTGTCCGCGTGAACAAAGTGAGTAAGAACGACAATAAAGACGAGGGGGCAAAGAAAAAAGTACATAATTACTTTCAGTTAGGTGAAAAATACTTTGAGTACACTTACATCACTAGAATTTTATACACATAGGTATCTAGGAAAAGACTAGGAAACGCTGACGCTTTCAATCCTGACATAAGTTATCTATCAAAAAAAAATGATAACCTGCCTAAATATGAAAGTGAAACAAATTACCTATATTATTTACAAAATAGTAATTTTTAATTTGCTCGTTAGTTCTTAGTTATGTTTGTTTTACTTTATCATATAAATAATTTTTATCTACAATTCTAAAAACAGTCCTAATAATAATAATATTCAACATAGTGGTAACCGGTAGAGAATGCCTGAGGCATTAAGTTCGCCTATAGGTACATCATATTGTATGAAGTTTAAATAAATAAATAATATCTTCCTGACCGAATTTCGGTCAGACTCAACGGAGACTAGCCATTTGGGCAGGACAGGATTAAAGCACACGAGTGTGTGCGCAAGCACAGGTCCACTCTCTATTCTCTCACTCTCATAATCCGGATGGGACGGCACAGCAACCCGACTCGACCGGAGAGGACACAACCAACGGCTTTACGTGTTTTCGAGGCACGGAGGTTAAACACGCCCAAATTCCTGGCTACGAGCTGCTATTGAGAATGTCTTTGCAGAAAAGTAAAGATATTAATAATATAAACTATATATAAATATAAACCGCTAAGACGCACTTAGCGGTCAGCCGCCGTAGAGTCTACATCACCTGAAGATGCCTCGTGTAGAGGCGAAACACGTGTCGTATTATCGTCGATGG